TTTTTTTTTTTTTTTTTTTTTTTTTTTTTTTTTTTTTTTAAATTTGAAGGGTGCTCTATTTTTTCTCCTTCAATAGTTTGTTAGAAATAAATATTTCTCTTCACTTTTTTTGGTGGGGGTAATAAAAAGTTTTGAACGTTATTTTACTATTTTTATTCTAGTAAAAATTGCACCACATAGCGTGTTTAAAAATAGAATTAAATATAATATTTGTTTTGAAAACAAAATTCTTATAGTAACGATTCACAATTCACATTTCTGTGCTATAAAATTAAGCAGTAGTAATTATAAATATTTTCATTTTTGATATTATAAAATATTTAATATTTTTGCTATATTTTAACGTAATTAATAAGGTTATGCTTGTATTTACTGTACTCTCATGTCATGTCTCTGAAGTGTCCACTATTTTAAGCAGCTCTGTTTGGAAATCAAGATAATGAGGAATTTAAAAAGTGAAACTTTGAAGAATTTATTAGAATAAAAAAGGAAAAGAAAGAAAAAAAAGGCTAAAGTGGTCTTGTCGCTTTTACCTTTATTCTCAGAATAATCAGCAAAATGAACGAGGCTTTTACCTTTATTTTCAGAATAATCAGCGAAACGAACGGGGCATAGCTGAGAAATGATAAATTTCCTTTAAATTGTATGTAATTATATGTATACAAGAGGTTCTGTTTCTGTCTTGTTTTGGTGGGTGTATGTGATCTTAATCTCTATTATTTTGGTGTTGCAAAAGATGGGTGGCAATCACGCTGGGTTAAATCTGACTGGAAAAAGGTTGAAGGAAAAGCAGGCTCTTTTAAGCACACAACAGGAAAGTGGCATGGGGACCCAGATGACAAAGGTATTTGTTTTATCTCACTGTTTATAGTTGTTTATTTTTTTCCCTTAAAAATTCTCCTGAATTTAATAATGAAGGGAATAATTATTGGGAGTTTTTTATATTGTTTAAGATCAGTAATGATAAGCCAAGGTAACTTGTTGACATTTTTTATGATCTCTACATGTCAGCATCAGTTGTCTTTCTTGTTAAAAAGACAGATTATTGCACTTCTTGGTTTAATGTTGCAACGTTAGCTAATTTATTGATAAAACTCTCATTTTTTTGAGACGTTAATAATTGAATGGAAGTCTCTATAATCATCATTGATATGCTCGGCATATTTTGTTAAAACTTTTGCTAAAGCTGTGTGATGAAAGGGGTCTGAATTAGATTGATGCTTTGATTACAATGGCTTATATCTTAGTGGCTTTTGGTACTTTCTCTTCGTTTTTGGTCAATGTAGCAGAAGAAAGTACCATTTTTGGTTATTCAAGAACATTTTTGAATTTTCTTCAGGTATTCAGACAACCAGTGATGCCAAACATTTTGCCATCTCTGCCAAGATACCAGAGTTCACCAACAAAAACAGAACATTGGTCCTCCAATATTCCATACGTTTCGAGCAGGAGATAGAATGCGGCGGCGGCTACATAAAGCTTCTCTCCGGATTTGTCAACCAAAAGAAGTTCGGAGGGGACACCCCTTACAGGTTCATTTATGCTTCTTACACCCCCCCGAGTCTTGTCGAAATAACACTATGTTAACACACGTTTTGCTCGTGTAGCTTGATGTTCGGACCAGATCTGTGCGGCACGGACACGAAGAGGCTTCACGTTATACTCTCCTACCAGGGCCAGAACTACCCCATCAAGAAGGATTTGCAGTGTGAAACTGACAAGTTAACTCATTTCTACACGTTCATTCTTAGGCCTGACGCAACTTATAGTGTCCTTGTTGACAATAGAGAACGAGACTCCGGAAGCATGTACACTGATTGGGACATTCTTCCTCCAAGAAAGATTAAAGACCTTAAAGCAAAAAGGGTATAATAAAGAGCTAAAAATACGCTACTTCTGCTTTTAAAATTCGTTCTTGTTTCATTTACTTTCAAATTTGGTTGAACTTGAATGTGTCTTTTGCTGTCTTTTTCAGCCTGCAGACTGGGATGATAGAGAGTATATTGAAGATCCTAATGACGTTAAACCTGAGGTCTGCAAGCTTTAACTTTGCTTGAATCTAATTAATGATTAATTTGCTCTCAACAACACTTGTATAATTACGCAGGGATACGATTCAATTCCAAGAGAAATTCCCGATCCAACTGCTAAAGAGGTTTGTTCTTTTTCATTTCACTTGATTTGTTCGTGATATCATGTGATTAAGAAACATACCAAAACTCACATTTTCTTTTATTTTGTTAGCCTGAAGATTGGGATGACGAAGAGAATGGCATATGGAGACCGCCGAAGATACCAAATCCAGCATACAAAGGACCATGGAAGCGCAAGGTATACATCAATTAAACACTTAACTAGAGACTGATAAGGCCTGGAGCTTTGCTCTCTCACCATTTTCGACTTGTTCTGACATGACAGAGAATCAAGAACCCCAACTACAAAGGCAAATGGAAGACTCCGTGGATTGATAACCCAGGTATGTATAACCCGATTTTGCATCACAAACGGAACATTTCTTTCGCAGAAAATGTTTAAAAAATTTCCTCTCTGAGATGCAGAGTTTGAAGATGACCCTGATTTATACGCGCTTAAACCGATAAAATATGTGGGCATAGAAGTTTGGCAGGTAAGAAATTAAGCCACTTAGGGTGATTTCGTAGCTTTCTAATTGTTATGTTGATGATGGAGTTTTGACCTTTCGATTCAGGTAAAGGCTGGTTCAGTTTTCGACAACATTTTAATCTGTGATGATCCGGAGTATGCAAAACAAGTCGTTGAGGAAGTATTTGCCAATAGGGAGGTAAGCCCTTCTTCTAAGTGTTAGTGGTAGATATCTACATTCCTTCTAAGTCTTGCGCTGTCTAGTACTTGCTTTCTTATCTGCATAATTTTTCAGGCTGAAAAAGAGGCCTTGGAGGAAGCGGAAAAGGCCAGAAAAGCACAAGAAGAAGAGGTTCCTCACCTTTCTTTTACTGCTGATTAAAACTATTTTGAGCTCTACAATCTTAGACGAACTTGTGTCATTGTTGGGTTGAGCATTGGTCCATGCAGGAAGCTCGGATAGCAAGAGAAGAAGGCGAAAAAAGGAGACGAGAGAGGGGTCGTGACCGAGGGTACCGAGACAGATATAGAGACAAATATAGAGGGGTTTGTAACTAAAAGCAATTAAATCAATGTTTTATGAATTTTTTCAAAACGGAAAAAAAAAAAAAAATCCATGTGTCGTGTGTATCATGGTTATTATGTAGTCGTTTCAAGTTTCAACAGTTGTTATAATGCTAGAGTTCTAATTTGAATGTTCTGTTAATGCAGCGACACAGGCGTGACTGGGATGATCATGTAAGTTTACCAATTCATGCCTCTCACTGTTAAAACAAACCTACAAATTTATTTCCGAAGACTTATAATGGTTTTACTAATCTGATTTGCAGGATGAGCTTTGAGGGAGTTCGCAGATTCAGTTTTCTACGTCGTTTATTTGACAAGAAATTCCTCTAGTTATAATCATCAGTTTTACTGTTGTCGTAAAACCCGTGGCAATGTTTCTTTCCATCTTCGCCAGTATCACTTTTGTTTACAAACGTCTGTTATGAACGTGTTCTTTTCCATGTACTGCTCGATTATATGAAATAAACTCATTAATTCTCCTCCCAGAGAAAATCTTGAGGGTAATGTGGGAAAGAAAAAGGCTTATGGTTTTGATGTTTGAGTAATGTGTTCTAGCAGTTGCGAAACCATTGGCCTATATAATTAAAGCTTTCGATTGGCATCTCATAAACAATGTTAAAAATGTTAGTACGAAAACTTTCAAGACCTTGTCTAATTATTGGCATGATAAAAACATTAGTGATTTAACCCTTGAAACTTTTTACAAAAATTCATACTGGCTTTCCATTGGAAATAATTGATACAATCAAACCTCAAACCTAGAAGCCTCCATTTTTCGTCACCGACAGTCAAATACCCTTAGATGGATATCAGATAAGCAAACTCACTATCTTCTCCTTACAGCAGACGGTGGACCACCACGCTGGACTGCTGTGGGCTGCTGAGCTTGGCCCTGGCCGGCTGCCTGTTCCTCCGGCAAATTCATTGCTTGAGTTATGGCATTCATGACAATGAGTCCGAGAGGGATCAGGTACATCCACTGAAACAAGGCAACAAACGGAATTATAGGAAGTGAAAACTTCATGACTTTTTCATATTGAAGATTGAAATAATCAGTTCTTTGAGAACTCACGTATTTAGCCCACAAAGACTTTTCTGGTGGCTTTACTGCTTCACCCTCTACACCCTCTCCAACACCAAGGCTCTCCTCAGTAAATATTGGAGCCCTGGGACAACATATTAAACCATGTGGTGGTTAGCTAATGACAGTAACAGAAGCACTAGATTGCTTACTGAGCGTTTTCGTTGTCAATTGACGAACTAGTTCCTTCAAATAATCATTGGGGGCCATTTTTCAAATATTTATATTATGCCTAGAATGAGTTCATCACCATGAAGTAGAAACAACAAGGCAAGAACATTTTTACCTGGGTGCTTGCTCGCTGTTCTTCAAAACTGTGTGAGAGTTGAAAGACCACTTCGAAGGCTGAAATCGAGAAGAAAAAGCATCGAGGCAAATAATTTATTCATTTATTTATCTATTTAGCTAGATATCAACGTAAAGAGTTGGATAAACCCTCTTCTCCAGAGGAACGGGGCCTTATATATATATATATATATATCTATTTTCCTCAAGTCTATTGTCATAAACAAGAGTGAAAAGGTTCATCCATTCTTACAAGTTTAAATTGACGAGGATATGGGCATGCCCCAGGAGAACCATAATGGACAGCCAACATATTAACGCCATCCTGCAAGGAAAAATACAGTAAGAAAGGAAATGCATGATTTTATGTAAAGCAAAATGGATCTTAAAAAATTAGCAATATCATTGCATTGCTAAAGTTACATAGAATAATTCCTTTTTCAGATGCATATGGATCATTTGGTTGGGGAATTCGTACCCTGATTCGAATCATGGTTCGTGGTTCGCTACAGTGTTTTCTCTCACAAAAAATACACGTAAATCGAAAATAATTTTAATCTCATGATTCTAATTCATGAACCAAACGTCCAAAAATTCAAAATCTACACATTTTGCCTCAGACCCTAAAGCATAGCAATTCATATTGTAATATAGGATCAAAACATTTAACTGCATATGCATAAAAGCTGTATCGCAATCAGGAAATTCTTAAACAATCAAAAATTTAGCTGTATCACAATCAAGAAAGAAAGAACAAAGATTGGCAACATTAAGACTAACCATATGAATAACAATATGCTCATACAGACCATCCAGAGAAAGACATTTCTGGATATTCTCATTATTGTTAGGAAATCAAAGCTTAACAATAATTTTTATATAGCTAGAATGCCAGCTTAAAAAAATTGGCCAAGAAGCAGAATTGAGTTATAAAAGTATGCATCCACGTCGAGACTAACCGTGTGAATAGCAATATGCTCATCCAGACCATCCCGTGGAAGACACCTCTGGAATTAAATTAATATCGTCATCAGTGTTAGGAAATCATAGCTTAACAATCATTTTTTATATGGCAAGAATGCTTGCTTAAAAGAAAATGGCTAAGAAGTTGCAGAATAGAGTTCTGAAAGTATGTGATCCACATGCAATATGAAGCTTACCGCTTTCACTGATGAAATAACAAAATCCTTCTCAGGAGAGTTCAAAACATTAGAAGGCAACCTTATCCTATAAAAATCGTCTTCTTTAAGTAGTGTCTGAAAAAAGTACAAGTATGATTAGAATGCTTATTTACAAAATTCCAATAACAAAAAAAAAAAAAAAAAAAAAAAAAAAAACTGAGTTAATGGGAAAAGCAGATTACAGAAAACTTGTCCTTCTCTTCCGCAGTTAATTCATTCCTTGAAAATCGCAGCTTTGTTAGCGTCTGCCACAAGAAAAATTCCACTTCAGTCAGTTGCTATTTCATGATTTTTCCGAGTAATAAAAAGAAAAACCACGGGCAGAGTTGTTGCATTGTGAAAAACAAAAACAAAGGCTCAAGAGTATGCATTTCATTAGAAGCACAAATTCTTAATTCTGCAATTGCTTCTATAACACACCAGAAAATGGATCAACTACAACTAAAATAAAGCATCTTCATTTACTTTTATACAAAATCTCTCAGCAACAGCAACCAAAAGAGTTTATCAAATTTTCTCTGAAAACCTCAAATTTCAATTACAATTTGGCAACTAAAATCCCGTTTTTCAAACTGAAAATAATCTTCTAACAAAAAAAAAAAAAGTATATGCATTAAAATTTCAACTCATACCAATAATTAAACAAAAAGACCGAATTAAATTATAAGAAATTCCAATCTAACAAACATAATTCAGCCCTAAAGTCCCTCCTAGTCGGTAAGTTAAATTTTCCCTCGAATTTTCTCAAATGAAAAAGGGCAATAAACCTGGCCACCGTGATTTGAAATCTTCAAGCGAGCGGTGAAGGTACCGGCGGGAGAGAAATCGGAGTCGCCAAAGGCGTGTTCGAGCTGGAACTGGATCTTGGAGTCCGAATCCAGATCCGAAAACCTCTTCCGGGTAGAGGTTGTGGGTTGGGATCGGGCGTGGGCGACGTCAGGGGACTTAGTCCGCACCACCCCTCCTTCGAGGCCGAACTCATCGTCGTCGACGAGAAGCTCATCGGATTGGAAAGCTAGAGAAGAAGCAGCAACAAAAAGAGCAAGAAAGAAGACCGGCCAGTGGAAGAGACACAAACCCATTGCTCTGTTTTTTCCGTCTGATGAGTTCGGACTTCGGAGAGAGAGAGATTATGAGGAGGTTGACCATGGGCTTCGATCGGGAAGACAATCCAATTCAATTCGGCCTTGGAACTAGGCCCAATTCTGAATAGTTCCTTTTGTAAATACGACAAACTTTAAGGGCTTTTTTCAAGGGAAAAGAAAGAAGAAAAAACTCTTGGGTCTTCTTTTTTTTTTACTTGTTTTTAATTTCGAGAAAATTGTACTGCTCCACCGAAATTTTTTTGTTTTTATTTCATAATATCTCATAAACTTTTAATTTTAACAAATTACATTGAAATTTTTAAATCAATGATCAATTTTAATAGTTAATAATGCGTTATTAAATTAACGATTTAGTATATTAAGATCTCGTTCATTTTATTTTTTTAAATTGAGTATTTGAGTTAAAAAAAATTAACGTGATAGAAAACGTGGTAAGAGAAAAAATTAAATCTAAATTTGCACTAGCTAATAGGATTTGTTTGTTTGTTTTTTAATGTGTGAATCTGGTAATGACCATAGGCTTGGATCGGGAGGACAATTTGGGCTTGGGCTTTGTGTTGTTACTTTTAGGCCCAATTCTAAAAGGACGTTTTTGTAAATATAATAAAATTCAAGGGCGTTTTTGAAAAAATTTCTAGGTCTTTTTTTTAATTATTATTTCTTATTTGTTTTTAGTTTCCCCAATTCTCCGAGTCGAGCCCTAATCGGGGTAATCATTCATCATCACTCTTCTTCTCTACAACACAGAAAGAAGTATAGAGTGGGAGCATAAGAGAGAGAGAAAGTTCTAGAAGGGGAGAGAGGGGCGAAGCCATGGACGCTTTCAGGAAGCAGCTGGACCAGCTGATGGGGGCGAACCGAAACGGCGACGTTCGGGAGGTGAGCCGCAAGTATTACGATCGCGATGTCTGTCGCCTCTACTTGGTCGGACTTTGTCCTCACGAGCTCTTCCAGTTAACGGTAGGTTTCTGGATTTAGATATCAAATTTTCCACGATTCATTCCTTCTGTAGTTTTTAATAATTTTGAATTGTCTGCTTGGTGGTGAAAATATTGGGGAGAATATTTGCCTCGATCATTTCATTTTAAAATTTGAGTTTTATTACAGTAAAAAACTATTAGAAACAATTGCATCTAATTTTTTTACTATAGTAAAAAGTTCTTACGTCACATCTCAATTTGAATTAAAAATTAGAATAAGGACTCATAGTTTGGATTTCAGGAATGTGGAACAAACAGGAAGATTGCAGTACTAATTTATGCTGATTTCATAATATGAAATTCGATTCGCGGATAATTGTTACTGAGAGTGAACTGTTAGGTTTTGGATTTCAATTTAGTAGCTTACTGTTTTATGATTATGTTCAGCATTTGAAGATTGATAATCTAGATATTATGTGCTTTTTGACTGTGCTGTTCTTTTATTTTCAAGTTATTATCTTCTTCTTTGTTTGATTATTAAAATTTCATTCGTCGATTTCGTTTCAGAAAATGGATATGGGACCGTGCCCAAAGGTACACTCTTTGCAGCTGAGGAAAGAGTATCCTTCAATCTTAAAAAGCTTTCTATGTTGTTCTTTTCATTCACCGTTTTCAGTTTTTGACATAATCATAATGGGGCAAGGGGGGGCTTCACGTGGAAACTTTGTTTTTTTGTTTTGTTTTGTTTTGTTTTTTTTTTTTTTTTTTCTGAAGGCAGCGGAAAATAACATTTGGTTACATATGGATTTTATGTTTTCTACGTTGTACTTAACTCTTCCAAGATATGAAGAAGCCAGAGCAAAAGGGGTCGATAACTATGACAGAGATCTGGAGGATGTCATAGACAGGCTTATTGTTGAGTGTGATAGGAAAATTGCTAGAGCTCTTAAGCGCCTTGAGGATGATGATGCAAAGGCTGCCATTGCAATTTCCGTATCTGAGGTTACTCAGGTGATGGCTGTATCCCTCTTTTCATACCTGCGTTAAAACTTAAAATCATAGGCAAATTGACTACTAACTCTTAAAGATTTGTTCAAATTGTAGACGCCCGAGGTTCTTGAGTTAGCCAAGCAGATTAAAGAGAAATTGAAAGAAGCTGATCAATGTGGTAAGTTATATCTCATCTAGTATATGTATTACACTAGAGTTGTCACGTTCTTTTCTTTTTTTTTTTCTTTTTTTTTTTTTCTGGTTTCTTCTACTGGTGAAGTTGTGAAGTTTTATTTTCCCTAAAAATATAGGGTGTTAGAGAGAAGGATAAAGTTATTAACATCTAAGGTATACTTTAGTGTGTCATCGTATGTTGTTGATGTTCCGATTTCCGAGGATTTGAATTTCAGCACTGGGTGCCTTGAGGCGAGGCCCCATGGCACTTTGTGCTCTGATTTGAGTCCCCACGTGCTGGTTGCCTTAGAGCGAGCACGCGTGTGATGTGTGCCAAATTTAAATCTACTGAAATATTTATGTTTCGTGGTTGCTTCTTACTTATTCAGAAATTTGATGCTACTATGCAGATCTTGAAGGCAAGGCAGATCTTAAGATTCGAGCTCTTGAGGTGGTAGAAGAACTCAGAACCAAAAGAGCAGACAAGCAGGTTGCACTTTAGTGCTGTTTTTAGTATTTTATTGATTTCCTCGTATTGTTTTTTCTTCCTCAATATGATTCTCTAACCATAGCATTCTTTATACACGTTTGTTCACAGTCCATGCTTCTTTTGGATGCCTTCAACAAAGATAGAGCTTCTTTACCTCAACCCCTGCCCAATCCTCCACCTTTGGCACCTTTGCCTGTAGTTGCTCCTGATCCTCGCACACAGGAAATGATAAATGAAAAGTTAAAGAAGGCAGAGGATCTAGGTAAGTCAATAAACTGCTGAACTTTTAGCAATATCAGTGGTTTTTCTATGACTATACCTCTGTGGTTTTTATAGACTTGTGTTCATGGTTGTTTTCTGTAAGCGCACCCCCCCGCCCCAAATGGGCTTTTTAATGGGACAAAATTCAATATACGTGGCATGTGTTAATCAATTGGATTCAAGGGGAGATTTTATTTTTATGAATATTGTTTTTAAAAACTAAATGACACCTAAGCAGTGCTTTTAGTCATACTCTATAAGAAATCCATTTTTCCCTATTCTGTTTAAGCAATCACTATGGAATTTTCTCATTTTAATTCTTATACCTGCTTTAGGTGAGCAAGGGATGGTTGATGAGGCACAGAAAGCATTGGAGGAGGCTGAAGCGCTGAAGAAGGTGTGCCTAGCAAGTTTTTGTGTTTTTTTTTTCTCCTTTTCCTTTATAACTTTTTTGGGGGAGTAATTGTACCCGCCTCATAATGATGGTTTTATGACGCGTGTGCGTGCATGCTTTTATTTATCTTCATGTTATGTTTTTATAACCTTCCTTTCTTCCATTTATAGTTTTCTTTTTTTTTTTTTTTTTTTTTTGACCCCTTTTCAGCTGCCTGCCAGACAGGAGCCTGCTCTTGATTCCACTAAATACACTGCTGCTGATGTCCGCATTGTGAGTTGAATTCCCTTCACTAATTATGTGTTTACCTATATAGTTTTCATACATTTGTAGTTTGAGTAAAAATAAAATGAGTACAGATTTATGGATGTCAAAAAAAAAAAAAAAAAGAAAGAAAGAGATAAAATCATAGGAAATAACTGGGGAAAGAAAAAATAAAAAAAATTACTAATCTCTTGTGCTGAAGTAATCGTTCGCTGGAACTCAATCTTAGAAATTACAGTTAAATTATGGCTGGTTGATATGCTGGTCAGCCTACACCTTACTATGCTTATTTTATGCGAAGTTGATGTGTGGGTGCTAATCTGTGCAGTATTTGTAATTGTATTTAGTCTGTGACGTATGTAAGTCTAGGAAACTTAGTTATTTGTGGGGGCTGCGCGATTTAATTTTCTTCTTTCTTTTGGTGTTATTTCAGACAGATCAAAAGCTACGAGTTTGTGACATATGCGGAGCATTTTTAAGCGTTTATGACAGGTAAAGGTTTACTTTAAGTATACCTAATTGGCATGCTGTTTGTTTAGCTTTCTTGAGGGAGACATAGAAATAGTTTTTGGGTTTCCAAGTGCTTCAGCTTTTGACCCAGCAATCATACCTCCTTGTACCAGCAGGCTCTTGTGCCCAGTTTTACGTGGATAACTTTTGCAGCTAAAGAATGTGCGTCTTTTTCCATTTTATGCTTGTAGATCATGCTATTGGCTGGAAATTATTTGACATCTGCACTAATCCATAAATAAATTTAGTGAAACCTTTTTGTGCTCTAAAAAAGTGAAGCATCCTAAATCTTGTTATTTTCAGCGACCGACGCCTAGCTGATCATTTTGGGGGGAAGCTTCACTTGGGCTATATGCAAATCCGTGAGAAATTAGGCGAGCTTCAGGTAAGACAATTCATTTTCTTTTCATTTCTTTGTTTTTAGTTAGGTGGGTTACTTGCTTTCACTTGTCATTGTTAGAGGCGAGTCTAATGAAACTGAAATTGGCTGCCTGCTGCTTTTGGATGAAAACTTAAATCCATGCCTTTTTTTTCCCAAAGGAAAATTGAACACATGTTCAGAGATTATTTTCTGCTAAATTTGATTAAAAAAAACTTTAAAAGTAAAGAAAAATCAATCATAACATATCTCGTGTTTTACCCATTACTTTGAAATTCTCCTCAAGTTGTTATTGTGAATATGTTGGTTCAGGTGCTGGTATAATGTTTCAAATCTTTAGAGATTCTCGTAGTATTTGATCTGTGAGTTTTTCTAATCTCGGAGAAGAACCATGAAACTTTCTAGCATGTTTGTTTAAGTGTTTAACTATTATTTGGTTTTTGGACTCTCTGAGTGGGGACGTTTCCTGTGAAGACAGTTCATCAGTGCTGCACTTGGATATTCATCTAGTGTGATTTATACTTGTAAGATATGAACTTCTACTTTCTAGACTGAAATTTGGTATTGCTGCCTTCCACCTATGTCACTTCATGGAGCGAATTGCGGACCAACTTGGTGGCAGGGGAGTAAACCACATGTTCAAAGCACTGGTGATGGGTACAGTGGTGCTCTGTTCTTCGTCATGGTTATGTTTTACGTGCCACTCTCCCGCAACCCTCCTACCCCCTTTTTCATTGCTTGTGGGCCACGTACATTTGTACTTCACGTTAGTTTGCATAAGCTTATTTGCTTTTGCATTTTGAGAATTCTCGGAGACGCATTTTTGTTCATTCCATGCCATCCTTTTTGTTCAATCCTGGTGTTCATCTTTGAATACATTTTAAAGGTTTAATACGGCGAGTCATTCTGGGTTTAATTCTGTGTATATATTGTTTTATGACCTTTAAATAACGTGCACTTTGAAGCATCTCCTGCACCATTAAGTGTGAAATTTTTTGCCTCCATTAGCCAAGTTATATTAGAAATCCTTTTAATCCATGGAGGTATTTAAATGGCACTTTCTTGAAATTAATGTGTCAGGAAGAAAGAAACAAGTCTCGCAAAGTTGATCGACAGGATGATAGAAGGTAAATTTCTCTCTCTCTCTCTCTCTCTCTCTCTGCGCGTGTGTATGTATGTATTTAAAGTAAGTGTATATATATATATCCATGATGTTATTTCACCTAGTACTTGTTCCTAAACTTTTCAATTTTCTTTTTAATTTATTTGTTATAAAGATCAAAAGAGCCAAGTAGGGAGCGGGACAGGGAATCTAGTAAGGACAGGGAAAGAAGTGATAGCCATGATCGTAGGGATAGGGATTATGATCGGAGGAGCAGGGACCGTGATAGGTATTATGACCGGGACCGTTATGATCGTGAACGTGATAGAGATTCAGATCGTTCCCGAAGCTACGATTCAAGAAGTCGACACAGGTCGCGCTCAAGGTCAAAGGAGCGCTCCAGGGATTATGATCGCCATAGGTACTTGCTCAACTATTTCACATCAGTTTCTCACTCTTTCTATTTGGAGAACTTTTTTAAGATCATAATCTAAAATCATCAAATATTCTGTTTCATCAGGCGTTATGATCGGTACTAGGGGGATCTTCTGCAAATCCTGTTGAAGCGAAATTTATGATCTTATCTAGGTTAGTCTTGGAACTTATGTAGGAAAACATAATGTGTTTCTTCCTAAAAAAAATTTTCTGGACTTGAGCTGCTTTTGTGACCATAAAGGAATGCTCTGCTTAGATTTTCTCACCTTCGTTTTAAGAGGTATGTTTGAGAGGTATGTTTTACTCTTTGTTGAAGTTATTACAATTCGCATCCCTACTTACAGCTGCAATGTATGTTTTTTCGTTGCTGCACCTGCTGAAATTTGGCATGATTTTGAGATTTGAGTTCCTCTCTTCCTTTTCCACTTTCTTATTTAAAAGACAGTTTTTTGACTTGATATTAAAATCCACGGAAAGACGAGGGAAGGGGGTTTTATGGTTCATGGCAGATCTTGGGTATTTATTAAAACCACCATGTTTTATCCGAAAGAAAGGACATTTTACCCCTCACCTTTCCCTCCTACCAAACAAGCTCTTGGGTCATCCATTGGTTCAAACAAAGCTAAAAGTAACCCGGATGGTTTAAACATGGTAGTTAACAGCAGAGCTACCCAGATTATGTGCCCCTAGTTTGGACGGAGGGAGGCATGTCGGGTTGGGTTGTATTGACAGTGGGGGGCGATTTGTGTGCATCCCTCGGGTGTGGGGAGTGTTGTCATGGCAAGGGTAAGTTTTGTGGGGTAACGGCATCGCTAGAAATGGATGTGGGGGGAGTGCTGCAGGGGCTTTTGAGGTGAGGACGTGTTGGTGCTTGTTGGCCTGCTGGGTGGGTGCTGGGTATCGTTTCTAAATGCAAGCTGCTTTTTAGCAACGTGCTTGGGCTTTTTACGCATTTGGGGACTTTGTTTTGTTTCAATGCTGAAGATTAAAGCAACTCATTGATCTGACAATGTTACCCTTTTTGGTAGTTTATTATTTTAATTTTTATAAGTTTTAGGGTTGTTTTTGTAATTAAACTTTCAATTCGAATTTAACGGAAGTTTAAAATCAGGCCATTATTTTAAGTACATGACTTATTAAAAGTATTTTTATTTTTCTAACTAGTTCTAGAGAGGTAAAAGTAAATGCGAGCTCATTTCAAATGGCATTTTTAAAAATTTCTCAAAATTTAATTCGAGGAGATTTTTGCATAAAAAATTAGTTTTTAATCCAAAAATCACTCATAAAGGCAAAGGACATGCAATGCAAATATGCAATTACTCTTTTTTTTTTAATTTTATTTTTGGTCCTTTTTCGCGCAAGGGAATCATGCAGATTTTTTAAATAAAAAATAATGTCGAAAGTTACAACTTAAAAGTAAAAAAGCAGAATGATGTAGCGTAGATTATTGTTAAAATTGTACAAAAATCATGAGAAAAGCAACCGGTGTCTACCTCCTTTACATCTACGTATTTTGGTCCATGGCTGCTCTTAAGCAATTTTCCAGAAAGAAATAAAAACAAAAGTTGGAGCAAAACCCTTCCATAAGTTCCATAACAATGCACCAACCAAAATTCTCTGGAATTGGAAGACAACATCTAAATTCTAGAAATCCTTGGCTTTTCTTCTCAATTCATTCAGCTCCTTCTCAATCTCGGACTCTCGGAAAGGAAACACCGTGTCTGTTGCGACAACAGTCCTCCCAGGTGGAAGCTCTCCTTTCTGATTAGCATCGAACAGAAGAACAAATGGATATTTGATTTTAGTTAATTTATCAGATCAACACTTTTAAGACTGGGATATGTTCAAGCCATCTTAGCTTAAATTTTTTTGCAATCATATAATCGTTTTTGTGACGAACAGATGGAATTAAACCCTATAAACTACTCACTTTCCTTCAGCTCCAATTTTGGTCATATGAATTCATGATTGACACACTGAATAACGAACATAATCCATGTAAGAGTCCTCTAGCAATCTATATGTTACCTTTGAGCTCCCGGATAGGTCTTTCTTCAAGATCTCAAGATCGTCATCAACGGAAGAGCCCTCTAGCAATCGGAACTGTAAGAAGTTGAAGGGAACATCTTATTAATAACATTCACTGCTACAAAAAAAATAAAAATAAAAAAATACTGCATTGAAGTGCTAGGCTTTGAAATATATGATAATCAGAACGAAGGATATTCAAAGTCCCAAGTTTATATATTTTTCGTAGCTTGACTTTCAGGCAGACTTACTAACAGCAAAAGCTCTCCTAGAGAGAGACATGATTATGACTGTTATTATGGCAACAAAATGATGGGTGATTTTTTGTCAATTCTGTACGATTTAGAACTGAAGGGTGCATCTAGAACATCATTCGGGAGAAACAAACGGATACAAACTTCTTACATATCCCCACAAAAGAAAAGATTTTACCTTTCCCTCAAGATCGTCGTTTGTTAATTCATTATAAGCCTCAGCCTGAGACTCCATGGCCAAAACTGCAAGGACGAGAAAAAAGAATTATTTAGCTTCAACTGCTATGAACATGAACTTTAGACATGTCCGAAGTGAAAATCAAAGAACTTCGATTCTACTAAACTCACTTAACTACCAAGACAAACCCTTTTTCTAGAGGAAAATAGAAAAAAATAAAAGAAACAAACAAACCTTTTTCCTCCATCTTGTTAAAAGCATCAAGAGCGCTACTTGTGTTGACATTACCCAACAATTCGCTCACTTTGGTTGTAGTCCTAAAGGGAAGCTACTGATTTAGTATAAAACTGAACATTCGCCTATTGCATAGTACAAAAAGAAACTAGCAGAAGATGGAGCTCAAGACTGACTTTGCAGATTGCGCCCGTGCCTTGAGGACATCTTTCTTTGATCTTGCTTCCTGTATCTTGCTCTCTAAAAGCTGTTTAAAAAAGGAAATCGAATTTAGAACATATTACACGAAACATTCTCTCCAACTTTAAATTCAAGCATTCAACTTTCCCAAATAGAAAGTGGGAAAAACCTAACCAGAAGCCTTAGAATTTTTTCTCCCCGACAGAAAAGCTCAAAAAAAAAAAAACAAAAAATCATACCAGCTCTTAACAAACTGCCCTAATCATAAAATGTTTCTCTGTCTCTGGGGTTTTGAACCATCTAAATCAAGTCTTCTAAAAGCTCAAATGAAGGCATAATGGTAAGAACTGGCCAATCAGAAAAACATTAACACTCAACCTACCCGCGTATTGGAGACAAGATTATCCACAACACTTTTCTGCTGATCAAGCTGAACCCTCAGAGCATTTGCATTGTCCTGTGCAGAATAAAGGAGCACACGAGCGTTAAAAGCAACATCCAAATATCATTCAGATGTATCATATTATAACGTTCTAAAATAAAAAATACGTACAGCAAAAGATTTCCGTCTTTTAAGTGCTTCACGAGCAAGATCCTCATCACCCTTTCCAAGAGCCAGTTGTGCCCTTCTGTACCTATCATCCAATACAGATTAAGCATAACAAGTACAACACAAATACTTACACAACAATAACAAAGCTTCTCCGAAATATTTACCAATCCTCAGAAGCTTGCTGAGCAGATTTATATCTGTTCTCCAACTGTTTCTGAGATGCCAAAACCTTGAAAAAGTGGAAACACGTAAGAAAAATACAAGAATCAGAGAATGCATTTTGCACTTAAAACGAGTTATTTGAAAGACCGTCAAATAATATTTTGGAAGGAAAGTGAGACAGATGATAGAAACAAGAAAAACATGAGAAAACAAACTCAAATTAAAAGTGAGGGGACTGTACTTGTGCCGTGGCTTGACGCATCTTTATCAAGTCATTGTTCATGTCAACAACAGCTTGGTCTAGAATCTTCTCGGGGTCTTCGAACGAGCTCAGAATCGCATTTGCGTATGACTGTATTCAAATCAGAACAGAAATTTACAAAGTCTTTTTTTTTTGAAATATTATGTTGAAATATTACCTTGATTACTCTAGCAAATCGAGTGAAAAGATTCATATGAGAACCAAGAGCACCACCGCCATGGCAATTAGGACTTAACCTATCCGAGTGAGATATTCGTAGGATAGGGATTTTAAGTCCTTCCACTGCAAGAAAACAAACATATTATAAGAAAATAAAAGAAAAAAAAACGCTGCTTTATACTGTTTTTCTCTGTTTTCTCGGCAACCAAACAAGGCGATGATATTGTCACCAAAATTGGAAATTTCTGGAGAAGAGGAAATGAAAAGAGAGAGAAGCGACTATGGAGATACCACCGTAACGGAGGAAGGACGATTTGAGGGGCTCAAAACGTGTAGAAGAAGAAGGGCGTAGTAGTGAAACTATGCTTGAGCTTGCGACTGGAGAAGCCTTCATCGCCATTTTCACGGCGATCAAAAGGTCTGTTTCAAATTAAACAGAAAATAAAATTTAGAGAGAGAGAGAGAGAGAAGAGTGTTATGTACTTATGTGCAACTCTAAACTTTAGACTCTTAATTTTAAAAATAATTTTATCTCATGAATTTTTAATTATTCTTACTTAATTTTTTAAAAATTTTAAAAATTCTAATTTTACTTTATGAATTTTTAATTATTCTTATTTATTTTTTTATTGTAATTTCTGTTAAAAATAAATAGAAAAAAAGAGAGTAATACAATCACATAATCTTTTTGTTTAAATATTAAAAATAAGATAAAAATCACATAATCATATTTAATCCTCTCTTTCACGTTTAATTTCAACAGAAATTCTTACAAAATAATGAGATAAATTCAAAATTTAAAAAGTAAAGTGAGAATTTTTAAAGGTTAAGAGCAAAGTGAAAATGAACTTAAAGTTCAAAGGGCACTAATTAGATTAATCTAAAATCTTAATAATATTCGGGGGGTTTTTTTTTTCTTGCTTTAATCTCATTGAAGCCCCTGAATTTTGGGAGCATGTTTTATTTACCCTTAAAATTTTTTAAAACTCTCACTTTTACTTTTAAATTTTAAGTTAATAGAGTGCTAATTTACATTTCTGCGTCAAAATCGTGTGGATATTTTATATTCTATTAGTAAAATATTGTCTTCTTTAAGCATTTTGTACATATTCTATTCTCGTTTTTACACTAAATAGAGCTAAAACCAAAACAAATTGATAGATTGAGAATCAAGGTCGAAACGTTTTAAAAATTAAGAATTAAAGTGGGATTGAATTGCTTTTCTCCCGTTAGTCCCGTTCCGGTAGCCTCATCAAGTGACAACAGCATTTTGCTTGGCTATAAGACCAAAGACTTGATCAACACTTGCATCTTTTGAATTTGTATCCTCATCAAATACAAGAATGAAATTTCGGATAAAACTTAACCACCTTTCTACTTATTTGACTTTAGTTACAAATATATCCTTAACAAACTTTAATACCTCGGAGCCAAGTTTTTTATTGTATTTTTGGGTGAAAAAGGATTCGAGGGAATATCGATAAGAATACAAGGGAGTAACAGCAAAAGGGCCACAAAATTTAGTTACAAGTTTGCCTAATCAATAACCTTGTCTCGACACAAATTCCTGCCTAACGTTATGTAAACCCCAATCTTCATAGGCTTTTCTTTTTCATCCCATGTTTACAAAAGTGTTTTCCTTTGGCTCGTAAAGTTGGAAGTAATTAGTATCAGGCTGAACTATATGTACAATATAGGACCTCTGTACTAGATTCTTCAACATATTCTTTTGGCAAAAAAAACAAAAAACAAAAAAACAAAAGAAAACCCTCAAGCTGATTTGAGCTAACTAGCAAACTAAACAAGGATATCTTTGCTGCAGAATCCATGAACTAGCCCTTAGTGTGCCTCTTTGACCATCTTCATACCCAAGCTTTCACAATCCATTCTGAAATTCAACCGCAAGTAAATTAGCACCTTCATAATCCACTTATGGAAATAAATATGCAGTATAACACATTCTCAGCAACATCAGTTGAGAAATTCAGATCATAAAAGAGACTGTCCAGATAAGATGAGAATCCTAATTCATAAACATTCACAACCCAACAATCTTGCTTATAAAACGCAAACCAAAGTATTGAATCAGTAGTTAGAAACTAGAAAAATCAATAAGAAACAGAAGGAACAAAAACAGCAAGCAAGCAAGCAAATCTAACCTCTTCTGCTTGGCAAACTTTTTAAGCGACAATAACGTGCAATGGCCAAGCAGGATAGCGTTCCCATTTTCATAGCGCAGGATGTCAAGGTCGATTTTAGGGTGGTAGATGGCAGGCCTAATCATGTCGAGGTATAATAGGTAAAAGAGGCCAAAAGTGCGATCTCTACTCATTTGAACCTTAGCTTCACAGAATTTGTTGTCTTGGGCCCTCCGTAGTAAAAAAGAAGGCGTAGCCAGCCGGAGGTATCCTGAAGCAGGGATCGGGATAAGGACAGATATTAACTCTGATTAAATCTTCCAACAGGACAACCTTCTGAAATCCAATTAAATCAACAAGGAATAGAAAAATCCTAGTCCACCACCTTCCATTCATTGCATACCGGGATGCAATTATGGCCAAGCAGGATAGCATTCCCATTTTCATAGCGCAGGATGTCAAGGTCAATTTTAGGGTGGTAGATGGCAGGCCCAATCATGTCAAGGTATAATAGGTAAAAGAGGCCAAAAGTGCGATCTCTACTCATTTGAACCTTAGCTTCACAGAATTTGTTGTCTTGGGCCCTCCATAGTCAAAAAGAAGGCGTAGCCAGCCGGGGGTATCCTGAAGCAGGGATCGGGATAAGGACAGACATTAACTCTGATTAAATCTTCCAACAGGACACCCTTCTGAAATCCAATTAAACCAGCAAGGAATAGATAAATCCTAGTCCACCACCTTCCATTCATTGCATACCAGGATGCAATTATGGCTCTCTCATCCCATGGTGAACAGGTATAGTAGTGTCTTGACCACCCCAGTCATAGTCACCTTTATAAAATTTATGAATTGCATAAGGAAATCTCCATGGTTCACAACGAGCCAAATTCCGGGAACCAGCATGAAAACCCTTATTTATCACACTAATGAATAAGAGAGAAGAAAGAAAAAAGAACCTAATCAATAATCTTTAGTTACCTCAGTAAGTTCGATCAGTTTCTGACGTTTAGCGTAACTGGACATTCTTTTTATCACTAGAGGCAGGGATGAAAAGAAGAAAAGAAATAAGATCACCAATGAGGGAAATAAGACATCATCAAAGCTACAAAAATATTTTGAAGACGAGCATATAGAATATGTACCCCTCGGGCAAGCATTCACCCACTTTCAAACTATATATATATATAGAATAAGATAGAAAGTCCGAATCAAAGCCATCGACCATATATGTTGTAGATAATGGATGTCGAGTTGCAAACATTGTAAATGTTGGTGATCGACCATAAATTTAGAGAAAGTGAGGAAGACAAGTTGTTCTTCCATTATATTAGTGCTTTTGCCTGTGTTTTTTGTGAGGAAGTAATCTTTATCGGAAGCTGTGAGAGCATACGAAGAGGAGAAAATGAAATTTTTAGAACTTTTTTAATTTCCATCGTAATGACTTGCTAAGTTTTGATTTGAATAAACTTTCACTCAAAGAGAGTTTTCATGTGAATGCTCTGTGCTTGCTCGCTAGTGAGACATTATATTCAGTAGCAAGCTCACAGCTCAAGAGACAAAGCTGGTTTTCTCTTTTCTAATCTTTCCTCTCTTAGAGCTTTAGGGGGTAGTGGAAAGTATAGGTATTCAACTAAGAAAAACGACTAAAGACGACAAACGCAAAGAAAGCTACTTGCAACTTGACATTTCCTTTTTCGGAGCCAAAAAAAAAAAAAACACTTAACATTTCCTTTGTTGTCACTCGTAGCTTGAGGCATATGAAGTGGAAAGTTAGGTATTCAACTTAGACAAAAGCCTAAAGACGAAGGCAAAAGTATTGGTCGATAAGGGCGACAGCCAAGTGCCAACTAAAAGGTGTGCACTTTTGATACACTTCAAAGGCATTGACAGAATCACATGGTTCAATCAATGTTTTCGAGAATGTCTCGTTCAATATACTGTATACACAAATAAACACATGTGACAAACAGCTAGCAAGTCCTAATTCAATGCGTCACAGAATTCAGAAAAGTTGATAGATAAACATATAAACATAAATTGCAATTCGAGAAAGTTGAAAATTTTTCCCGGTAATCAATATCCAAACAATTAAATTTTCCTTGTGCTATAATTTTGATAATCCAAAAACTACAATCAAAGAACGAAAAGAAAGCGAGTTTGTCCGAAAATGTTTACAAATACAATCGTCAGACATACCCTCACAAAAAATGCACCGAAACTCTCTAAATCTGCCTGCCAGCAGCATCAGCAACAAAAGGCAAATAAGGAGTCCGACCCAAAACGGAAGAAGCCGAACCATAAACGAAGCACAAAACGCTGAAGACGAACAGAGCGCTGTGAACCCAAACCATGATCCGGAATCCCAATCCAGACCGGCCGGGGCTGAAAATCCGCTGGACGAGGAGCGGGAGGACGAGGAGGACGTCGAGAGTGACGGCCTGCATGGAATTGAACCTGACGTAGCGGCTGAAGCTAGGGTTTCTGACGACGCCGAGGTAAAGGGCGAAGAAGGCGACGAAGCTGGAGTAAGGGATGGACCTGTAGAGGGAAATGATCGGGAGGAGGGGGTCGAAGAGGAGGCCCAATTTGGGGTACTGGAGGAAGAGGTAGCGGCCGTACTGGAGGGAATTGAAGAAGGGGAGGGAGTAGGCGACGGCGGAGATGAGGCGGTCGGTGGCTGGGGTGGTGGTGGAGGACGACATCATGCGAATGCCATAGCCAGTTAGGGTTGAGTTTTTGGGCTTCGCTTGCCATTTGGTTTGGTGGGTTCTGAGGAGAGGGTGAGGTAATAGGGATGGAGAAATGGCGGATTTGGGGGACTTGAAGGCTAGGGTTTTGGGAGTTTCAGTTGCAGAGACATGGTGGAAGTGGAGGATTTGGATTGGAATGGACGCCATTTTTGGGAGAGGAGAGGGAGCAAAACACAGAGAAAGAAAATGAATGAAACTCGGAAAATGGGCGTTAAAGTGGCGGCACTATGATCGACCAACTAAGGCAACTTTTAGGGCTGCCAAGTAAAACTCCACCGTTTTGCAAAAATCTAATTTTGATTTTTAACCAAGATTAAATTATTAAGGGAGAAAGAGAAAAATATGTCAAGATTTGAGATGAATTAAAATTAATAGGTTAATAGTTTACATAAGTTAATAAATAGGCTAAATTATTGTTTTTACCCATAACTTGTCTGGTTATGAACCATAACTTGACAAATTATTGTCTATAATTTACAGTTTTTGTTCATAACTTGTCTGGCTATGAACCATAACTTGATAAGTTTGTCCATAACTTATCTGGTTATGAACTATAACTTGACAAATTATGACCTATTAATTTCTATAACTAAAAATTAGCATATATATTTTTTTAAGCTTTTCATATTGACCTATTTTCTACTATTTTTTTTAATACCCACTTTTTAGTCTTGGATCAAAATCAAGATTTTGATTGCCGGTTAATCCCTTGTATTCTCAATCAACTATTTTCAATTAAGCCCTTTAAAATTTTCTGGTACTTTTATTACGTTTGTTTGCCTCTTTGTTATTTTCATTTAAGAATCAAGATGGTTTTTTTTTTTACGCAAATACAGGTCCTTGAGCCATGACGTGAAGTTTCTTACCCCCAAGATTGCAGCATTTTTTGTGACTGCCAGATTTCTAGCTCCTCGCTTTTCTTCAGTTGATCCCATTCTATTATCCTCATCAAGTAACCAGCATTTAGCCGAGAAAAAATGACTTTTTTTTTGGTAGAATCTAAAAGAAAATTATTTGTCTATAATTATAAGTATCCGAAATACTCAATACCTCCAGCCAAGTACGTCTTTTTTTTCCTTCTTTTTTTTGTTTTTTTTTGGTGAAAAAGGATTTGAGGGAGTAATGACTATTGATGAGAATGCAGGGGAGTAACATTTTCTGGCCCTTTTTATTATGTTTTAACAATTTAGTTCTAGTTTGCCCGGTCAATAATGCCATCAATTCCTGCTTAATGTTGATCCCAATCTTCACAGACTTCTCTTTTTCACCCCTTTTTTACAACAACAAAAAAAGGTTAATTTATCTCGTAAAGATGCAAGTATCAGGTTGAACTACATGTACAATATAGCAATTAGCAAGCTAGCACACATTCAAAAAGCATAGGATCTGTAACCTAGTCCTAGATTCTTCAACACTCTCGAAGAAGAAGAAGAAGAAGAAGAAAAAATAAAAAGAAACTCTCAGGCTGATTTGAGCTAACTTGGAACACTAGGCAAGGAAATCTTGGCTCCAGAATCCACGAGCTAGCCCTTAGTGCGCTTCTTTGACCAACTTCACACCCGAGCTTTCAGAATCCTTCCTGAAATTTAACCACAAGTGAATTAGCACCTTCATAAATGTCCCTGCCAAGATTACACTCTCTTCTCCGTTGATAAGGACTAGGGTAAAGTGAACCACAAAAAAGTATCAATCCTATCCTCTATCAGCCATTAAAAGTCTAATTCGAGATTAAGAAATAGAAATACACAAGCACTAGTCATAATTATGAACTCAGGATCTCCGCATCAGGCATCAGATGTATTGTACCCACGTTATGGAAATAAATATGCAGTATGACACATTCTCAAAAACATCAGTTGACAAATTCAGCTCATGAAAGAGACTGTCGGATAAGATGAGAGTCCTAATTCATAAACAATCACAAAAACAGCAAGCAAGCAGACAAATCTAACCTCTTTTGCTTGGCAAACTTTTTAAGTGACTTTGACGGTGGCGTTAAATCTTTATTCAGGATAGCACCCCTGTAATCATAGCGTAGGATCTCAGGGTCGATTGTAGGATGGTAGAAGGCATGCCTAATCATGTCAAGATATAGTCAGCGAGTTTAGAACTCGTCCTGAAAACGTTTTTCACGTTTTCTTGAGGAGAAAAAAATGAAAATAGTGTGCAGATTGCGTTTAGGGCAAACAAAAAATAAAAACGTTTTTGTCTTTATCTCAAAAAGTAAGACATTTCTAAAAATGCGTTGAAGTTGTTTTCCTTTTCTCTATTTTTATTTTCTCCCGTCTTTGGGCAATTTTCTTTTCTCCACTTATTCTCTGCTTTGTCTTTATTGCTAATGCTAATTACTATGTTCTTATATATAAATTAACTAATAATATGTGTGTATGGTAATTAGTATCATAATTGTTTATTATTTACGTATGCCAAGACAACTGATAAGTAGTAAGTATAATTACATATAACAAATGTGTATATATTAAATTAATTACTAGTGTATTGATTGGGGAGTTTATTAATTATTTAATATATTATTTAAAATACTATTACATGTTTTTAAAAATGTAAAACCAAACGAAATTTCAATTTTTTTATACTGAAAACAATCTCTGAATAAAATTATCAAACGCATTTTTAAAAATGATTCCTGCTTGAGATTGAAAACGTTCTCATTTCCATTTGCATGCAGAAAATAAAATCATTTTAAAATGAATTTCAAATGCACCCAGTATGTAAAAGAGGCCAAACATACGATTTCTACTCATGTGAACCTTAGCTTCATAGAATTTGTTGTCTGAGCCCTCCATAGTCAAAAAGTAGGTGAAGCCAGCTGAAGGCATCATGGGCTTGCAGCAAGGACCGAGATAGAGAGTGACATTGACTCTGATTAAGCTAGCGTTTGGTTAGTGTATTCGTATCATGATTCGAATTATAATTTATAATTCGTTATAAAATTTTCTCACATAAAAAATATACGTAAATCGAAAATGATTCTGAATCATGATTTTGAATTCATGAATCAAACGTCCACTAAATCTTTCAACAGGACACTCTTCTGAAATCCAATTAAACCAACAATGAATTGATAAATCCTAGTCCATCACCTTCCACTCAATGCAAAATGGGCTGCAATTGAGGCTCTCTCATCCCATACAGACAACTCCAGATAGTGACCTCTTGACCAGCTCGTAGTGTTTACCTTGTTTAGGACGTCGTAAATAAGCATTACATTTCAATGGAGCATCAGGCAACTTCCAGGTACCAATATAAAAACCCTAATTCATCACACTTTGAATTTAGAAATTTTTTTAAAAAAAAAGGAAGAGAGAAAAAGAAAAAAGAAGAAACTACATATAATATGTAATTACCTCAGTAAGTTCAATCAGTTTCCGACGTTTAGCGTAAGGAGGCATTCTTTTTATCGCTAGAGGAAAAGAGAAACAATGAAAAGAAATTAGAACCATCACGGACATCATCAAAACTACAAAAATATTTTGAAAACGATCACATATAATACGTACCCCTGGGATCAGAATTCACCCACTGCACGATTGAATGATAATCTGGTTCCAGGCAAACGTGAATATATATGATGAGTTAGAAAATACAAAGGCATACAAAGAAAATATAAGGAAAACAAAACTGTTTACCGTCTTCCTCATCATCAGAACTTTCTCAATCACCATCATCATCTTCTTCTTCTGTTAAAACATAGAATACTCCAAATCAAAAGCATTGAAAGAATAGAACGAAAACAAAAGAGCACAATGTAATATATGTTAGGATTTCTAAATGATCTAAACATGTTCCTAAGGATTCTAAATGGCAATTAGATCGATGCGGAATTGAAATAAACGGATGGAGATAAAACACCTCCGGCTATTGAAGCTCTCGGTGGAAGAAAAGAAAACTCGGATTTTGGCTCTTCTAAACCTCTTCAATCTCTCGTTTGATGGTGTATATTCTGACTGAAATGGAGATAGCAAGCTTAGAGACCCAAAATTAATGTGCTCTATCCTCTTTTATAGACTCTACCCATCACAGAGTTTTTCACGGACGTGCACCGAACGTGGACAACGGTAGACAATTGCAGATGAACGTGACTAATCACGTTCCTTAAGTGGGGAAATAGAATGGACCACATTCTTGAGGATTGTTTCGGTTGGTTACCGAAACTTAAGGAAAAAGAAATCCAACATTCTCCCACTTGGTCCATATATTCCATCGTTCACCACAGTAAGAAATAAAATACATGAATCATGGCGATAAGTCATCTAAAACGAGTATTATCTTCCATGTATTACAATGCATACTATTTCTTAATTATAGCCCATATAACTTAATGAATAAACCCTATGTTTATTTTAGGTCCAAACATTAATGATATTTCTCAACAAATAAATGAATATGTACACAAGGAAAACAAATATGAGAAAACATCACAAATAGAGTTTCATTAAAAATAACATTCGTTCTTACAACGAAATTCACATAAAGGAACCAAGTCCCATTCTATCTACATGATCCTTAAATTTCAATGGTGGCATGCCTTTAGTCAAAGGATCAGCAATCATCAATTCAGTGTTAATGTGTTCAATAACCACTGTTTTATCCTTAACACGTTCCCTTATAGCTAGATACTTGATGTCGATGTGCTTGCTTCGACTACCACTTTTGTTGTTTTTAGCCATAAAAACTGCAGCTGAATTGTCACAATATATCCTCAATGGCCTAGAAATCGAATCCACAATTCTAAGCCCAGAAATGAAACTCTTCATCCATACCCCATGTGAGGTAGCCTCAAAACAAGATACGAACTCAGCCTCCATAGTGGAAGTAGCAATCAATGTTTGCTTTGCGCTTCTCCAAGATACAGCTCCACTGGCTAGCATAAAAACATATCCTGAAGTTGATTTAAGCGAATCAATGCAGCCAGCGTAGTCTGAATCAGAGTAGCCAATCCCCTCCAAGTTTTCAGTTCGTCTGTATGTAAGCATGTAGTCTTTGGTCCCTTGAAGGGGTCTCAGCACCTTCTTTGCAGCTTTCGAGTGGTCCATACCTGGATTACTCTGATATCTTCCTAACATCCCAACAACAAATGCAATGTCAGGTCTCGTGCAGACCTGAGCATACATCAGGCTTCCAACAACTGAAGCATAAGGAATGTTTTTCATTTGTTCCCGTTCAAGATCATTCCTCGGGCACTGGTTCAAATTGAATCTGTCACCCTTCACAATGGG